AACCAGCACAACCCAAATGCATGTACAGTCATGCGCGCGCGCGTGTGTGTGTGTGTGTGTGTGTGTGTGTGGTGTGTCTGTTACAGAACTGATTTCCGATGTTGCACAAACTCCAAGAGCAGTTGGAATTCTGACAGACCTAAGGCCTCTAGCTCCCAGGGGGCCAACTTGCTGGCTAGGGAGACTAGATGCCTCAGTTTGCTGATCTCACCACCCACTGCCTTGACCTGCAGTGAAATCCAGCGCCAAGGTTTTAGGAAGTTGCTTCCCAGGAGCCAGCCTGTGACAGCTCTGCCTCTTGCTGAAGTCCGGGTCTCTCTGCCGTGTCTCTGTCTCACTCCCGCATCCCTCAGGCTTCTGCTGGGTCAGGCTCCAGCTTTGCTCTGTTCAGTGTCCAATCACTCCTGGGCTGCTGCTGCTTCTCTAACTCCCACCAGAGGACCCAAGGTGTCCATGCCTTGGCTGTCCGTGCTCCTTATACATGGCTCCTAGCTTTCTCAATGGTCCCAGTTGCCTGCTCCCCCTTAAAGCCTGGCCCTGGCATCAAATTCATTCAAGGAGACTTCTCAGGAGCGGGACTGGGTTTCACATAGGAACTAACACGGAATGGGCTCAGTGAATGGGTGTGCACAGAGAGAATCACCACTTCTACGTAAGGGCTGAGCAATGGCTCTCTTGGGCAGAGGAGGGTCCAGCTTCAGGAGGCAGTAGAAGACTGGGAGGAAGGCCTTGTGTAGTGGCAGTGGCAGCCCCAGGGCGGCTCCTAACACAGCAGGATCACACAGCACTGCCGGGCACTGCTTGATGAGCTAGCTCCACAGGTGGACACAGTTTATGTTCCCCGAGGCCTGGCGAGTGGGGGCTGGTAAGAGCATGGCATCCCAGGCTTGGAGATCAGGGCACAGGAGGCTTAGGCTGTCCCCAGATCACCAGTTAAGGCTGCAGTGAAGCCAGACACACACTGAGCCCCAAGAGGGACTGCTCAGATTTCTGACTTCAGGTCTGCTCCTTCTAGAAAGACTGCTGAGTGAGGGTGTCACCCTAAAGAGCTGAGATTTTTCTATCTGTCCCTCAAGTGGAGGCAGACAGACCACAAACATCCACAGAGGTGGTCTTGCTCCCTTGAGCTGTCCCCCCACACCCAGACTGTTTAAGAAGGTAGGCTTTTGTTTATTTCTATTTTTCTGGTATTTTGAGAAACCATTTGGCAGTGTGGACCAGGCTGGCCTTACACTGTTGATCCTCTTGCCACAGCATTTCAAGTGCCAGGATAGCCAGTGTGAACTAAGAATTCATCTTTAAGAACTAGGGTGGTGGTGCACACCTTTAATCCCCGCACTTGGGAAGCAGAGGCAGGTGGATCTCTGTGAGTTTGAGGCCAGCCTGGCCTACAGCACAAGTTCCAGCACAGTCAAAACTATATAGAGAATCCCTGTCTCAAAAAACCAAAAAAGAACTAGTCCTCTGTAACGTAGCATGGGAGGACACGTGACTCACTCGGGACTCATCCCTGTCCACTGTCTACTGCAGTGGCTCTCCCTGGAAGGATGTTCTGTAGGATAGAAGTGAAAGGGACCCAAGAAGGCCATCTCTCTCTAGGAGACCACACAGAAGTAGACGTCCATGAAGAGAAGAAAAAGGGCAGTAAGTGTGCTCAGAGCGCACAACACATGATTCACAGGGACCTCACTGAGGCAGGGGTCAGTCCTGAGGTGGCCAGAGCAGAGGGCTTTAAGACTAAGAACAGAGTGAGGAAGAGCTGCCGAGGGGGTAGACCCAAGGCCAGCACTCCCAGACTAAACAGCGAGCCTGGCTGAACAAGCCACTTGGAAGGAAAGGCAGCAGTGGCTACCTGGTTTAGGCCTCAGGAGAGGGCTGGTTCCGTTTGGACTAGGTCTAGAAAGCAACCGATGACCAAGCCTCCCAAGAGTATCTGGAGTAACCCGATATACCTGGTACAAAATTGGCCTGAGTCTATGGCCTCGTGTAGGGCTTCGTGGAACCCAGGCTTCCTCAGGACATACTGGGTTCAAGGGGAACACTTTTCATTTCATGGCACTGAGGAACAGAGGATAAGACCACCGTGGATTTGCAGAGACCAAACACTGTCAGGTAGGACAAGGGTGTCACAGGGCATCCACTCGGCTGCAGGACCCTTCTGCTCTGTGCTACAAGTTCCTTACAAAGCTACTATCAGCCGGGCGGTGGTGGCGCACGCCTTTAATCCCAGCACTCGGGAGGCAGAGGCAGGCGGATCTCTGTGAGTTCGAGGCCAGCCTGGTCTATAGAGTGAGTTCCAAGAAAGGTGCAAAGCTACACAGAGAAACCCTGTCTCGAGAAAACAAAAAACAAAACAAAATAAAAAAAAGCTACTATCATACTCCTGACTGCTAACACAAAACAAAGCCTCCCATGTGCACCCCAAATGAGCAAACAGCAGGAAATGTTTTCAGTGTTATGCTCCTGTATTTTTAGCCGCCTTCTCGGACTTAATTTCCAATTTTAGCCTGTCAAGTCCTAATGACTCCACCTCCCCTGACCTCTCACTTGATGGGGCTGTGAAGAACAGGAGGCGGTTTCTGTCAGGCCCCAAGTGGGTTTTTCATCTTAAAGACTTTGCGTGCCGCTCACATCTCTTTCAGCAGGCTTTCTTCTCAGGGGTTACCAGGCTTTCCAGTGTCTGTACATTGTGCTCTGGAGTCCCACAACCCTGACGCCCGCCTCTCCCTTGGGTGCTTCCACCTGCGGGCTCAAGGCTGACGCTGCACGGGGGATGAGACAATGTGGAGTGGCTTTTCTCACTTAGCCCAAGGTCCAGAGTCAGGCAGAGGCCACCAGGTGCTTGGGCTCTAAGCACCTCTACTAGCTGTCCTTCGCATTCCCCCAAAGGACCACACGAGCTGCACTGGGGATCGCCATCTCCTCCCCCTGCTTTTACGACCCTTCCTAGCAGACCTCGTGTCCCTCCCACAGCCTCATTCGGCACAAGCCAGCATGGGCCACGGGGGAGTCCCTGCCTGGCAGCTAAAGCCAAGGCACCAGGGGGACAGAGGCTCTTTCGGCCCTGCCCCGCCCCGCCCCGCCCCGCCCACTGCGCCACAGTCAGCTACCGCGGGATCTGTGCGGTCCCTCCAGACCATAGGCAGGCTGCTCTTCTGTCGGGGCCTCCCTCACAGGTGATGCTCCTCTGGGCATACTCCAGGGCAGCTGCTACCTCTTGCCAGGATATTTTGTTCATAATGAAGCTGCTATGCTATAAACTGCAAGTTGCCAATGTAAGTTAAGCTCTGGAGAGTAAGACCCACATTTTCCTTACTGATGGAGGTCATGGGCAGGACCACAGTAAACACTTACTCACAGATTCCTAGATCAGGCACGAGCCAAACTCTGCAGAGATTCAAATCCGCTAACCACTACCACAAACATGGAGCCAAGCGCCCAGACCACGTGTGCATTACAGGTCAAGGCACCAGAGTTTAAAGAACCAAAGGGTTTTTTCCAAGGACACCTAGGGAATAAAAAATGATACTGGGTCCAAACCCAGGTTTGCAGAAACTCCAACTCACTAATCCCAGCATTCTGGAAGGTGAGAATGGGATGAATGGACAGTACTTCTCTCAAGGAACCATTGTGGCTTCAGCCATACCCAGTGGGCAAACTCTAGCAGAAACCTGTATGGTGATTTTGGAGTCTGGTGGCTTCGGCTTACATAGCTCCAACAGCCAGGATCCCAGGGAAGCCACTGATATTTCAATACTGTAGGTTGGAAAACAGGTCCCTTCTCTCTCTCTTCTCTTTCTCTCCCTCTTCCCCGTTCACACACACAGAAACACTTTATTTATTTTAAAAGAGTATCACACTATGCCGCCTTGGCCAGCCTGGAACTTAATATACAGATCAAGCTGGTCTCCAGAGTGAGTTCCAGGATGGCCCCTGCTACACAGAGAAACCCTGTCTTGAAAACCAACAGAAAATGCCTGTGTAAGATCAGGCAACAGGCAAGCCTGTAGGGCATTTTCTTAATTAGTATTTAAGGAGGCACAGTTCATTGTGGGTGGTGCCATGTGGGAAGCCAGCTCCCACTTTTACCCAGAGTACTCTTGAGGAGAGAGGGATGAGAAACTTGTAGATAGAAAGATAGTAGGGATTGAGACAGACAGAAACACAGGATAGCTTCGGGAGGACCTGGATCAATATCCACCGGCTTCTTCTGTGGCTTCTAAAGGGCTTTTTATAACAATGCCAAGGGGTGGGGCAAAAGACCTCTCCATTGCTAGATCAAAGCACACCGCACAGCCAAGTGCAGACCCTTCCAAACACCTGGTAACCACACGTGGTCTAGCCATCCTCTTGTGCAGCCTGATGGGTAAAGCAAGCTCAGATCTCACTAGGAAACCTCTGTGGGCTCCCACAGTACCACCCCTGAGCTGGTGGTCCTGGATTCTATAAGACAGCAGGCTGAGCAAGCCATGGGGAGCAAACCAGTAAGCAGTACCCCTTCATGGCATTAGTTCCTGTCTTCAGGTTCCTGCTCTGTTTGAGTTCCTGTCCTGACTTCCTCCAATGACAGACTACAATGTGAAAGTATAAGCCAAACGAACCCTTTCCTCCAACTTGTTTTTGGTCATGGCGTTTCATTACAGCAAGAGAAAACATAACTAAGACAGCCATGATGCCTTTGATCCAGTGAAGGACACACTGAGTTCATGAGGAACACGAAGGCACTGTGAGCTTCTGTTTTTAAAAACCCAGTACTTGCTGGGCACGGTCACTCACCCACACACACCCCTATAACCGCAGTGCTCAGGAGGCTGGGGTAAGAAGATTTCCAGTTCAAGGTCAGCCTAGGCCACACAGAATGACCCTCATTAAAACAAAACAAACTCAGTACCTGCCAACCAACATCAAATGATTCAAACGCTAGAGTAATGCAGTAGTGTGTGTGTGTGTGTGTGTGTGTGTGTGTGTATGCGCGCGTGCACGCTTCCATCAGGCCCTACCTGTGTGAGGACGTCCAGCTGGCCCACGATGTGCTCCAGCGTGCTGGTCAGCGTCTGGGGCACACTGACAGGCTCTTGGGGCTGGCCTTGCACTGACTCCAGACTCTTGTCTCTGGCTGGTGGGCCATGCAAATCCATTTCTGGCTAAAGACAGAAAGAGAACAGTCCCTCAGTCTATTTAGTACTTGAGGAAACAAGGAGGGAGGATCATCTTCAAAGACAGATGATCTGAGAAATCGGGAAACTTGAGGAAATGGCTTCTACGTGTCAGCAGGAAAGAGCAGTAACAGGACACACACCCTTCCAACACATCGAGATTCACACATCCATCGTTCACAGCAGAGACTGAGAAGCAGAGTTGAGTGCCTGGCAGTCCAGACTAGATGGGGTCTGGGCAAAGGGGCAGGTGGACCCGAGTGCCCTCCGAGTACTCCCAGAGGCCCTCGGGGAGCTGCTCCATCTCTCACTCCTCACTCTCAGGCACTATCCAGGATGCATCTTGGAGGAGCCTGAGACACAAAGACTGCATGGCCCTGAAGTCACCTCTTCTCTCAGACAGGAGTTTAACTTCAAGTCCACCCTCCCAATACTGGCTGCCCCAGGCTTCACTAACGCCTTCCTAAGGGCCCAGCACCTGTGGCCTAGCAATGAGAGGGGATGTTCCAGATCCTGCCCTACCCCAGATCCCCTGGAAAAACAAAGCTCTCTGTGTGACTGTTCTGCCCAGGACCCACAGGACAGGCACAGCTGGCTTGTTTCGTACAGGACTCTAGGAACGGGAGGCAGCTGGGTTTTTATGACTTGAAGGGTCACTGAGCCCCTCTGTACTCAGATGCAGGCTTCTCCTGCCCCAGGAAGCAACCTGCATGCGCTGGGCAGGAGGATTCCCTGAGTATGGGTGCCTTGGGGCAGGTCAACAGATGCCACAGTTCCAATGCCTGCAGCTCCACTGTGTGCTAGTGACAGCCAATGCTCTGGGCCACCCCCAAGTGTTGGTGACCCACAAATGTCTAAAGGACATTCCAGATGTACCATGTCACCCTCAGGGCTCTGTCCCTCCAGTCCACCTCCTTCCATGCCCCTCTCTTGTGTCGGTGCCCTGGCATTCACACCACATTTTTCCTCTCCATGGGTGCTTTCCTTACACTTCTCCCTCGGCTAGAAGTACACTGCCCTTCCCATCAGGAACTCCTCTGCCCCTGCATACCTGGCCCTCCTTCTTCCAGCCCTGTTCCTCTCCACTTTGTCTCAGAACAGGGGCTAGAACACAAGCACATCAATCAACGCTGGCTTCTCTAGGGGCCCGGCCACGGATCTGTTGCCCACTCCTGCCTGTCCTCATCACTCCTTTCCCCACAAACCCAGGACATCACTAGGCTCAAGGCTTATGAACCACCCACGCACCACAGAGCCAAGCCTACTCTACCCGGAAGCCACCCACCTCCCAGAGCACAGGCAGTGGAGTATACTGGGTACCTCTGGGTACCTAGGATACGCCCAGCCCTGGCCATACTGGGATGCCTGTGGACCCACAGTCAGCAGATGGCTGCTTACATCTCCTCTCAATGTCTTCCCTCCTTGACTCATCTACAGCAAGCCAGCCCTGGCAGATGCTCACCTGGATTACAGCACAGTCCTTGAAAAGAACGGACCCAGGAGAGGACCCCAAGTGACAAAGGAAGAAAACAAGGACAATTTAGCGTGGGGAACTTACCCACACATTTTTCCTTTATCAGGAAAGAGTACTGATCGCATAAACCACAAACTCTCAAGGACATACTGATGTGAACTTGAAAATGACAGATCTGGTGGCCAAAGAACTTGAGTGTGAGACATGAGCCGGAGGGACATTCTGGAGGAAATTAGTGCCATGCCCACATGCCCATGTTGACATGTCTGCTGGGTGATGTGGCCACTTCCTAAGCTCTTCTAGTCCTTCCAGGGACAGAGCACTTCAGATCTCAATGCCCACTCAGAAGCTCAGTCGAAAGGGAAACACTTCAGAAGTCTGCCAGCCTTGCCAAGAAAGCTGGGGTCTACCACAGTGATCCCTAGGCCCAGGCAGTTCTGTCATTAGTGAGAAATGAAAAGCCAGAGAGGCCTTGGCTCCCTCACTGACCTCCACCACTGCCTCTACCTCCTCATCTATAAAACGGAGTCAATGACTGAACTCATCTGAAGTCACCAGCAAGGTGAAGCCACCACCTTGAAAAATGTTCAGTCCTGTGCCCTCTCCTTCCAGACAGACACACTCTTCCCCTAGGCACCGAGGCCCCACGGCTCTACCAGAAAAGACTACTGAGAGAAGGTTACAGGCTTCCTGTCCCCACAGCAGGCATCCTCATGGGGTCGACCAGCCTGGTGCTGCCTGCTGCCCGGGAAGGAGGGAATGGAAATTCAGAGTGTTTCTGCAGAACAGCCCAGAAGCTGCCAGTGCTGAACTGGGCTTCTGGAAAGAGTGGATGATGAGGTGGGGGTGGGGAGTGAGCGCCAACTTTAGCAATCTCCCTCTGAGCCAAAGCTGAGCAGATCCGAGGGAGCAGCACGGGCGAGAGCCATCGTGCTCCACGCTGGAGAAGTGGCTTTGGGAGAGAAGCGTGTTCCCATGGATACCATGCTTTCACATGGGCTGTCTTCATGTCACAGCAGGAGACTGAGAAGAGAAATGCAAACCCAGCACTGGAGGCTAAGGCAAGAGGCTGTCAACTAACTCCAGGGTAGCCTGTGGTCACTCACCTGCACTCCGGCATCCAAGAGCTGGGGCACTTCCTGCGAAGCCTGGTGAACAGGCACAAGAGCAGACATGGGAGAGCTAAGTGCCAGGGCGAGGAGTGGCACTCAGAGTAGCAGGGCCCTGAGTAATGCCGAGGGCAGAGTGGCCACAGCAGTGCTAGAGGAGAGACCACACCAGCTTACAGCAAAGCATCCTGGGGGCTTTAGAGGTTCTCGGATGTGACCCTTACTCTTGCAGGCATCAGGGACGCAGCTTTGGTCATGTCTGTGAGGTGTCTTCACAGGTTTAACCGAGCAGCAGTGGCCCACCCTGAATGTGGGCAACAGCATCCCACAGGTTGGGGTCCCAGACTGAACAAGAACTGAGCGGAACAGTGGCACCCGTCCCTTCTGCTCCCTGACCTGCAGACACAGTCTGACCAGCCACCTCATGCTCTGCACCTTGCCTACCCCACATGATGGACTGTATTCTCTCGAACTGTGAGCCAAAATAAGCCCTCCTTCCTTAACCTGCTCTGATAGGTACTTTTCCAAGCAGGAGAAAAACTAACACATCCAGTGTATCAGAAGCAAACTCCCAACTAAGACCAGCCCGTAAGTACAGCGCACGCTGTGCCACTTACGTCAAATATTTTAATACCAAAACCACAAGAAAGATCAATCTCCAGACTTATCTACTTAACTTCATGGAAATTTCCCTTGGGACCCATAGGTGACCCTTCTCACACCCTGGAGGAGGATCCTAGGCTCTCTCTCACAGGATGTCTGCCTGGATTTCTGTTTCTTCAGTCACTTCCCTGCCAGGTGTCAAAGTTGATATACCCAAAGTGACTTCATCAAAAAACAAAAAACAAAAAACAAACAAACAAAAAAAAAACTCCACAACAAGTAAGTCAATTAGTAGTTGCTTGTATACACAAAGATGCACAAGGAAATTTTTGGAAATGAAATATTCTGTACCTTGATTGTGTGTGTGTGTGTGTGTGTGTTTGGGGGGGTGTTTGCCAAAGCTCAGAACTGCTCATTTTCCAAGGTGAATACTACCATTTGTAATTCCAAGGCTCTATCAGTCCCCGCAAAGACATATTAAATCTACAGTGCCCAGGAGCCCTCCTGTCCTCACACACCACACCTGACATCCCACCACTGCCTCTGCACCTCCTCCCACAGAGCATCACCACTCAGGGGCTAAACCGCAGGCCGAGGACTCTAGTGAGAGGCCATGAGGCTTGCCATCAAAACGTGAATTAAGTCCCACGTGTGTGAGGCAGAGAACCTCATTTCAATGCAGTCTCTCCAGTGGAGGGAGGGAGGAGCTGACTCCATAGGCAGGGTTCCCCAGCAGCCCTTAGCCACAGGGATCCATGCAGAGTCGAGCAAGAACTGCCCACAGCAGGCAAGAAGCCCGAAGCAGCTGCTGTTTGACTGGAAGATGCTGTGAGCTGAGCTGCAGGTCGGTAGATGGCTGATGATTAACATTTGCTCAAAGTATACAATTGTTCACCCTGGATCTTGTCCTCTGCCCAGCCTGCTCCTAAAATGGACAAGTGTTCAAGAACTGACCCATGGCTTCAGATGGGGCCAGAACGGGGAGCCTGAGGTGACCTAGGGCTGGGTTCTCACTCATTTCCTTCTTGCACAGCCTTGCCTGGTCACTGCCTACTTAAAACATCAAAGCATATCACTGAGCTTCCAAAGACTCACTGGGTGCCACACTGGAAGGAATGGGTGGACACGGACACACACACACACACACACACGCACACGCACACGCACACGCACACGCACACGCACACACACACACACGCAGAGACATACAAACACACAGACACAGAGACACTCAGACACACACAGAGACACACTCAGACACACATGCCCACAGACATACACACAGATCCATACACACAGATACACACACACACATACATACACACATAGACATACAGAGATACACATACATACACACATAGACATACAGAGATACACATACATACACACATAGACATACAGAGATACACATACATACACACAGACATACAGAGACACAGACACATACACATTCAGACACACACACACCCCGTAGTTAAATCCTTTCACTGTAGTCTGCTCACTTAGCAAAAGGAGTTCAGAAGGTGTCTCTCTGCCCTGACGTCAGGCCTTCGGCCGCTCTCAGAAGCTAACGGTTGCCTTCGTGTTTTCTGAACCTGACCCTGGGGAGGGAATTAAAAGGCAGAGCTCACTTGGACTCGGCCTTATGCCAGCTTCTCACGTGGAAGGGGCACGGCTAGCTTCTGAAATCACATATATCTGCAGACTGGATAAGACTATCGCCGTACTTGTCTTGTAACTTAGGGTTCCAGCATGGAATCCAACAGGAGAAGAAACTTCTGGTACTAAACGTAGCTCTGAAG